GTCGAGGTGCCCGTCGAGGTGCCCGTCGAGGTGCCCGTCGAGGTGCTGCCGCCCTCGCTGAACTGGTCGCGGCGCGCCACCGTCAGCTGCGAGCTGAACCACCGCCGACCCGCGGGCGGCCACACCAGCTCCAGGTACTGCTCAGAGTCGCGCGCGAACGGCGCCCACGTCGGGGTGTTGGCCACGGGCGAGGCGTCGGTAGGCGTCGGGTTCCTGCGGGGCGGGCGGCGGCGAGTTAGGGATCGTGCGGCTACTACGTGACTTTAGAGGAGGTCGCAAATATTATTGGGTCCAAAAATAATCGGGAAGGTCATTGGAGTCCATGTGATCCTGGGATACTCTTGTACCCCGGGGTAAAAATACCATAGGGTCCCTAATATGGGCTCCGATGACCGTCCTGTTCCTCTTGGGACTCCGTGATGTTTGGACCCCTCCTCCCGCTAGGGATCGTCAAGGTGTATCTATACTCACTGGTAGATGACGAAGTTGGCGATGAGCGTGCGCAGGGTGAGGGCGACCTGCAGGTCCGCGCCGACCCAGGTGTTGCCGGAGGGGAAGATGTACGGCTGGTCCGAGCCGTGGGCGATACCTGCCGATAGGCGAAGGAACGGGAATGAGTTAATTGCAATCCTGGTGGTTCATTCGGCGCCCATGCACCTTCCGCCTCTCTGCTCTAGGCCCTTCCACCAGGCCGCACTCACCCTCGGGCGAGTTCTGCGTGAGGGCGCCGTTGTGGTTGAAGGCGTACAGGTACGACGACGTCTGCCCCCGTTCCGAGACGCGCTGGGCGATCCGCCGGGCGGGACTTTTGAAAGCGAACCCGCCCGCCAGCTGCAAACAGAGGAGAGGCGCCATCTTAGGGGTGCAGACTCGAAACGGAAGACATCGAAATACCCTGCAGTGCAGTCGACAGACGCGCGCGCGCGGGGCGAGAGGACTCACGTCAATGATGCCGTCCTTCATGCCGTCGTAGTCCCCGAGCGTGGTGGGGTCCAGGAAGGCCAGGATAGAGGCGTCGGCGACGTAGGAGGCGGGGTCGTCGAGACCTGCGAGGTAAACAGAAAGTGAGACTTGGAGCCCACCTTGCCCTTTCCCCCTTTTCCCACAGCCGTCTCCACAAAAGGTCCCCGATGAGCACATTAAGCCAGCCAGCACGAGGGGAAGCCTACCCCGCACGGCGCACCCGCGAGGCCGTGGGGACAAGGGCAGCACTGCGAGCTGCGAGAGGCACTTCTCCCAGAAAAGTCAGTGTACACACTCCAAAAAGAATAATCAAAAAATCAGAAAAATCAAGAAAAATTTAATTTGAAAATATCGATTGCATAAAAAGAAAGAAAATCAGGAACTATCAAGAAAAATTGAAAACAATTGTGTGCACTTGAATTTCCCGGAATTTCCGCACCGTCGCGCAATCGAACACTCGAGCAATTACTGTACTTGGTGTAATCCCCTGGCGGAGGGCAATAATCGCGAGCATTAGGCTGCTGATCGTGGTGATCGGTGCCGAGCGCTTACCGATTATTTTCAGCACCACGTGGATCAGGTCGTTGCGGAGATAGGTGGCGTTGGTCGTTAGCTTGTTGGGCTTGAAGTAGAAGGTCTCGGCCACTGCGGGGGCGGTTGCAGTCAAAGAGTCAGTTACAGTCAACTGTAGCGCAGGGCACGCGGGTTACGTTAGGCGTCTTCAGAGGAGGACTCACTCTCGAGCGGGAAGGTGCCCTCGTGCTTGGTGATGCCGGTGAGGTAGGGCAGCGGGGCGAAGTCCGGCGAGGAGAGGATGTTCTCGGGCAGGTCCGGGAGCACGATGACGCCCGCCCTCTGCACCGACGGGGTGCTCCCGGACATGGCCAGGTTGCCGCCCAGCATGTTCTTCACCTGTGGGCGGGCGACGCCGTCAAAATTTAGTTTCCTCTTTATCGTTTAATATTTTCATCTATACAACAATGCATTTTTATAAATATTCTTTCATTAATCTGCAAATATTTCGCCATGATAATTTATCAGTTTCAAATCTTTTACGGCGATAATCCTGGATAATCCTGAACGCAGCAATTGGCACCGGGACAAAGTGCTCCCGCCGCACAGCTTGTGGGTCGCGCGTCACAAAGCCAATAGCCCACTCTGAATTTGTAAACAAGAGACGATATAACACGCGGCTGAGGCAACTTTTATGGCACTCCCGAGTGATAGGACCGCCGCCGGCGCAAGCAGCTGGGGGCCGTGGTGAAGGTGCGATACACGACATCATGTGTGACACTTAATGTACGACACATGATGTAATGGGTGACACTTGCTTAATGTGTGACACATGACATGCATGACCGTGAAACAATTAACTCTCTGAAACATTCCCCACAATTTTGTATACCTTTTAAGGTACGGCGATTGTTATCCCCGAGGGGTGCCCAACTCGAAAAAATCGTGTACACCGGATTACCAAAAAGTGATGATTACCAAGGATTACCAGAGATTACCGAAGATTACCTATGATTGCCAAGGGTTTCCGAAGATTACCACTGACAAAAGATTGCCAGAGATTACCAAAGATTGCCATTGATTACCATTGATTACCACAGATTACCAGTGATTCCCAAAGATCACCAGTGATTCCCAAAGATT